TCCCTGTCTTTGCAATCTTCATTGTCTAATAAATGATTCATTTTTTTTGGATTGTTCCTGGTTCCATTGTTGACATTCATTAACTCACTGATTATTCAACATACTTAACTCCTGATTACCTTCTGATCTTTATCACAGACATATGTGGATATCGTGGACATGGACAAGTATGATTACGATAAGTACAAGTTTATCGATGATCGTGGAGCTGTTGCAATCCGAGAAGATGCAGGACCAGATGAGCAAGGAGCAGCTTCCGCAAATCCCAACCGTGAGGTGGGTGAACACGGTGCTATTGCACATCCTTTTGTGGTTGAAATAGACGATGGCGCTACAGCTTTCCCTCTCACAATTAGCGTAGAAGACGAAGGAGCAGCTGCAGCAAATCCCGACCGAGAAGTGGGTGAACACGGTGGTACTGCGCATCCTTTTGTGGTTGCAATAGACGGCGGTGCAACAGCTTTCCCCTTCAGAGTTAACGTGGCAGACGAAAGAGCAGCTGCAGCAAATACCGACCGTAAAGTGGGTGAACACGGCGCTACTGCGCATCCTTTTGTGGCTGCGATAGAAGACGGTGCTAGAGCTTTCCCTCTCGGTATCAAAGTAGGAGAAGAAAGTGGGGCAGCGCACTCTTTTAAGAGTGTTGAAAAAGATATTGATGCCTCAGCGTACCTTCACGAGAGTGATACTTTACCATACCTCAGCGAGAACGGGGAGGAAGATTTCGGTGACTCTGAGAGCCCTCTTGGGCTTGAGGAAGAAGATATTGACGACCCTGAGTGCCCTCTTGTGATTGAGGAAAAAGATATCGATCTTTTGCCATCTTCTTTGGTGATGGACGATAACGGTCTTGGTACTCTGGCATGCCCCCCTGTGACTGACGAGGAAAATTCTGATTGTTCAGAATGCTCTCTTGTGATTGAGGAAAAAGATTCCAGCAATTTAGCGTGCTCCCTTATGATTGAGGAAGAAGGTTTAGAAGCCACAGTATGCCCTTCTGGAGTGACTGAAAAAGATCCTAATTTTGTAGCACACCGCCCTGCCATTGAGGTGAACAAACCTGATGCCTTCCCCGTAATCTGGGAAGAAGATGACGATTCTTTCGAATACCCTCCCATGATTGAAGAAGAAAGCCATGTTGATTCCGCTTCTCCTCCAGATGTCGAAGAGGGTGGAACAAGCAATCCTGAAACTAATGCTGTTAATCAAGATGCTGCAGCAGTACAGCCTGTAAAGGAGGCAAGAGGTGATAAAGAACCTAAGACTTGCCAACTTGAGAACACAGAGGATAAAGAAGACGATATTGGAAAACATATGGAGGGCCAAGGTGATGCTGTAGACCTTTGTGATGAAGAGGTTGGTGTGCAAGAGAGTAATAGCTATGAACTAACGGCCGTGGATACAGACGAAACCGGAAATGACGAAGACGAGGAGTCATCCGAAGCAACTCCTTTTGTGCAGGACTGAGGCATGATACCAGAATTGCTGAACCTCCAATGTTGTACTCGTTTGTTGCTCAGGTTTCCTAGTTTCCGAGTTTCCAAGTTTATTTCGCACTATTCAAATTAATACAGTATAATTAATACAGTATAATACAGTAAATTAATACAGTATAAGACGACTTATATAACTAGGTGAAGAAGATAATGAGAAGTAGATATCATGCAGGTTGTTTGTATATGGGTGCACAGTGACCAAAGTAGCCGTAACTTTCGTGTTGGTCACTGTCCCATTTAAGTAAATAGAGAGGTCCAAGATACAAGTGTGAGGCAATAATAAATTAGGGTATTAAGAGAATAGTTTTTAATATAAATATATAGAATGAATAGAAGACTTATTGATACAGCGCGATACTATACAACATTTAGAATTTATAATAAAAAAGAAAAAAGGGAGAAAAAAAGAGAAGAAAGAAAGGAAGAAAAAGGAGAAAAGAAGGAGAGTAAAGATAATCTAAT